AGCTCACAGTCTATTTACAGCTGAATTATACCTCTCCCTGTCTTTGTGAAACCTGAACCTGAAAATAGTCAATTGAAACAGAAGACTGAGAAAAAAAGATATCTCTATTACAAGAGGCTTAATGTTATTACAGGAAATAGCTTATCAATAGCATAAAAAGTCATTGAATTTAATTAGTATGCAGAGTAGCAGCCCCTTTAGAATTAGTCATAATAATAACTTATTATAATAGCAAACTATATTTTAAATTATTTTTCTAAAGACGGCTACAGTAATTCATACAAAAAGATAAAGCACGTAAAAACAAAGCAGTACAAACTGTACAAGTAATTCCATTAACTTTGGTAAAATTCATCTATAACTGAAAATCTTACAGCTTCAGAGAGGTTGCAGTGGCAAATCACGAGTTTTCTGGGGATAACTGAGGTGTTGAAAGGGTTTGGTAAGGTTAGGGAGAGTGCTGCATTCATGAGTTGCTTGTGCTCTGAGTCAGCCCTGGTAGAAAATGACATTCACATCTGATAAAGTACTCTATTCATCCCACTAATGAATAGAGCAACTTCATTTGGAGGAGATCAAAGGCCAAGTATTTAAAGGTACCCAGATGCCTAAGGAGGCATACAGACACCTAATGAGATTTAGGAATTCAAATACTTCGAAAAAAACTGGTCCTATGTCTTTTGCACAGAAGCAGTTGACAGTCTATTAAACAAATATTCTCATACAGACTACTTCAGTTTAATTAATTCAGGTGCAATCATGGATCTTTTAGCCTTTCTCTAATTCAAGAGCAAGGAGATTTGCAGTTGCTGAAACTGAACTAATAATCAGTCAGCATTTTCAAGTGCATAATCTGCTAATGGCATATATTATCAAAAGCACACAAGAAACAATTATACTCATTACTGAGAAGGAAGATTTCCAATCTAATTTGTACACAAGTGTGTGTATGGGTAATATTAAATCTCAAAATAATACTTGAAAAGGTTCTTGACAGGAAAAAATTTACAACTCTGCGGTTTTCTTCTGCTACTAGTTGAGCAAGTAAGGGAGTAATGACATTTTAACACATCTGTAAATTAAAAGAAACTAAATAAGGAATAGAACCCTGAATCCGAAAATGGCAAAGATTAGCTGCGGTAAGTACTGAAAGAAAAGCCACAAAGGCTACACCGACAAAATATGTCACAGAGAATAACCCAGCCCACAAAGCTGGGGTGATTCACAGCATTTAAGAAATAACAACTTTACTGGTTCCCATAATTTAATGGCATTGCAGGCACAGCTGAGCAGTAATCAAGAATGTCTTGGCAACATGAGTTTGTTTAGTTCTCATCAGAAAATGTTTATTCATTGAAATAATTTTTGTGAGTTCTTAAAGAATAGATTAAAACTTCAGGGTGAAACTTCAGAGGAAAGCCATCTCATTCTAAGCCATCCTCCTGACACGTCATTCCTGTGTGGTTAAGTAGTTAACTTTGGCTATTAGAAAGTTTGTGCCCTTACTGTACTAAATGATGCAATTTTAATGTTCTGTAAATTTTATGGAATATGAAACCAAACAATTCCAATAAGAGAGCTTTAGAAGCTCAGAACATATTAAGGCACTAACACATTAGATGGTCTTTAAGGCCCGTTCCAACCAAGACTCTTCCAGGATTCTGTGAATCTAATTTCACAAATATGCTTCCAATTAAGAATAATCTTTGTGAGGTTACAAGAACAACACAGTATAATTTCCTTGCTTAAATAGCTACCATATGACTGTACAACTTAATTGCTAAAACCAGTATTATTAGATATTAGTTTTATGCAGTTACTCAGAAATTAACTCTAAGATGGAAAATAATAACATTTTTTTAAATGTATAGGTTTTAGTTATGCGCTTTAGCCTACCTTTTAACAACGTCACTTTACTTAAGCAATACAGCATGGTCAGCTTAATTGCTTGGAGTATGGTACATTTCTTGATGTAAAGTTCCTTAAGAAACTTCATTTTATAAACAACTTATAATTGCAGACCATTATTTTAAGATTTTGCTACTAACTGAGGAAAATTTGTCTGCACTTTCAACTTTACTACCTTCTGTAATATTTTAGGTTTTTTTTGATCTGGCTGTCATTCCAACTATACAGAACATATTTGTTAACATTCTGCCAACCTGCACATTACCAGGAAACTCAAGAAGCTGGAAAACTGGAATGTAGAAAGAGCCTTTCTGAGTGGAAGGAACAGACTTTTAGTACTTAAAAACACACAAAAAAGGTTTCCCCCAAACACCTCACACCAAACCTCCTCCTGTCAAACCCTTCAAGATATAATCTCCTATTGTTTTATTTGAAAAGGTAACTTTTGAACATGATGGACAAGATAAATCACTTCAAGGAAATGTCTCTATTTAGGACACTAACGTTTTCCTAATTATACCCAGCAGGTATCTATCCACAACCATTTATTCTACTGTGTTTAAATGCTGTGGCATAGGAAATGCCTGTCGATGCATTTACTCTTCACATCCAGGTATAACTGACTGCATGCCAGGATGCTTTTAACCACAGTATTTACGAGTAGAGGCACAGAATTGAATTGTCATGGCAAGAGCAATAGAACTAAATCTTGCTGCACATGTAGTGGGATGTCATCAGAGTGTATTGGTTCAGGATCTAACAAGTCACTGCTCGCTGTCACGCAGATTTATTTGAGTATTTGGGAGGAGATTACTGACACCTTCCAAATTAATGCATTTCTTCATTGTTTGCATCCAAGACCCCAAATTTCCAACACACTTGTACCCATCTGGTAGGCTACATGTAAGATTGAGATCAGAAGAAAGAAAACTCACTCCTCTCTGTCTGCTTACTTTATAACTAAGCTATTGCCTTTCCCAGCATTTATTATTCCTATTAATTTTGTTTTAGGTAAGAGTATTACATTATTTGGGCAAACATGTAGGTTTACTTCATATCTAAGTGATGATCTATAAACAAGTACAGGTAGCAGTGAATCTCTTATAGATCAATTATTACCTAGAAGAGAGCATAGAAGTTGGCACTTACGGAGAGGTGGGAGGGGAGTCAGTTTTTCAGACTATGCCCAAAAATCGACAGCCTTCCTTGATGTCTCAGATAAGGCCTACTTGAACTGGGAAAGTGAATTTAGAGGCACTTTGACATAAAATCCTGTTTTATTCAGGCATTAGAGTGATGTAGAACAACAAATTAATGTCAAATTTATCTCAAGAAAAGCCATGGCTCTATTATCAGCATGAAAAAAATATGCTGTAATTACACCAAACAGCTAACCATGAGCGTAAGCTCTGTATGTACAGACTGTGCTGCAGGATTTTCAACGCTGGCTTTACTTGAATGACAATTCCAGTGTTACTATTTTTATATCAGTTGAGGAATCATATAAAGGTAATAAACTAGAAAAGGAGGGGAAGGAACACCACAAAAAAGGTTTAATATGAGATCAGAGTCCTCCAGGCTACATTACTGTGAATAGAATTCACACTGTTATTATTTTTGCTTGGTTACCATTAAAATTACACTGCAACCAACCCAGCTGTGTGCTATTTATAGAGATCAAATCATTATAAAGACATTTATGCTACAGGCAGCAGCAACGACATTTTTCCCTCCCTTCATTTTCAAGCCAATTAAGAGAGAAGAACATTATAATAACATTTTTCTTTGTTTCCCATTCTCTTTGGTCTTATAGGATAGCTTATTTTCATTAAGATACAAGAACTCTGTCAAAAGGAACAGACTTTACAGAGCACTGTAAATACCCTAAATACCAATATCTTCATATTGAGCTTTCAATTTAGTAAATGCATATATTTCATACTATTTCACTCACTGGGAGAGCTTTTCCTCATTCAGCATTTGCCCAATAGCTCTGGGGAAAAAAATCAGTGATTCATGTGCGGTGAGTTTGAGGTAGGAACAACAAGAGGTGAGAAAACAGGAAACAAAAGCTTTGCAGCATTTTCCATGACAAACTACTATGTTCAGAATACAAACTTCTGCAGAAGCACTGCAAAGCATAATCTAAACAAAAGCACTGCCTGCTCTCATCACACAAGGTGGAGATTGTGTGATGGAGGGCGCGGAGAGCAAATTTACACTCAGTTCAGTGAACCTGAGGCCATCCTTGGCATTGAGATTATGGACAAAGCAGAAATCTGTGTTATGAAATACTGCATGACAAAAATGCTGCCTGTTAGAAATAAACTGTGATACCTGGGACACTAGTGTGCTACCAGTCAGCAGTATGGGAACTCACTACAGACCTGGCTCTGATGACCTCTAAATATCAATACTGTGAGTAGGACTTCTCACCTTTAAACTTAGCAATTTAAAAAGTTAGCTATCTATCCTAAACCAGCTGTCTAGACTCTCCCGACAACTGATGAGGAAAGATAGGTATCTCCTGAAGACAATTTATCCTAATCTGTGATGGCTCTCTCAGGTAGAACAAATCAGCTGTTGGAACTGTCTGTTTCTCTCCACTGAACTAAAGATGGAAATCAGAAGAGTAACTTAGTCTAGACACCTAACTTCAGGATGACTGAGAGTCAGAGAAATGAATCCAACCCTATTTCTCTATTTGCCACATCACCAGGCATTACCCTCTGTGAATAAATGGTATTTTTAAGTGTTCCTTGGACTTGGAACTTGCTAAATCCCATATAATGTTAGGAACAGTGACTTTCTCCCAGATCAGTCTATTTTCCAACACCAGTCTAATGAGCATGGGCTTTTATTGTCCAGAGCCAACCACTGATGCTCTGTTTCCCATAAGCACTGGCTCACTTGAAGCTGTACTACAGCAGTAAATCAAACCACCAGAAGTTCTTAATTATCCTGTTCAAAGCACCAGTTAAGAACTTTGTCATGAATGGAAAACCTCACCCATCAGTCATTTACCAAAGCAATATATTTAACATATATACAAAAGAAGAGGGTCAAGGGCAGAAAATGGCAGCGATACCTACTTGTCCAAGAGTGCACTCCATGCCACCAAGAAAATCCGCTTCCTTCAGCCCATTGTGGTTGCTGCTAATGTCATGCACTTCAAACCGCAGTCGCTGCACTTCTTCAAAATAGAAGTCCACTGTGAACAGCTTGGAGAAGACAGGATTTATACAGGTCCGAATCACTTCTGTCCTGTCAACCTGCCAAATCAAAAAGAGGTCATACGAGTGGTTTCTCAGTGATGGACGACCAGGAGCTTCTCAAATACACTTTCCACGTTTATCAAGACTGACAGCTGTGACTATGGCCACAGATACTACTGTTTGCATTGTCAGCAGCAGTTGCCATTTCTGTGCAGGGCTGGCCACCAACACAAGGTAAGGCCAATTTCCCCTGCCTCGCCCTTCCAGCAAGCCTTTGGCAGATACTGGTAGGAACATGGGGCACAGTGAGCAGCCTCCTTTGCAGGGTGAGCAACAATTGCCCCACCAATTGGGCTCATACTGGATCAGTCTGGTGGCAAGTCAGAAGCTGTGCATAGGCAAAATGACTGTCCTGTGCTAGACTAATAACTGGGAAATAAGCTGTAGAATAACTATAAATTTAACATCTCCAGCAGTACCCATCCATCAGTACAAAACAGTAGCAGAGCGATAGTTTTACTGAACTAGATGGAAAAGCAAGCAAAGCCCCCAGTAATTACTCATTTTGGACAACTTGCATGATTAAGGAGTGCAGAACAGGATCCACAGCAACAACTTTTCTTATAGAATACATCAATTTTTTCATCCCCCTAAGCTGCATCACAAGAATCTGATGGATTATATACTGCTTTTACCTATCTCTGAGCCTTAAAACTGCTAAAGAAACACCATCAATTCTATATTGTACTTTCTAGTTCTCTTAAAATGTAGTACTTGGGTTTCCTATTTTTGAAGTAGGCCTTTGCCACCTTTCATTATGACACATCATTGGTGACACTGTAAGCAATGAAGCAATTTCCTTTTTTCCATTCTCTTTGCCCTGGCACAGAAAAAAACTTAATAATTCTGTAAGATTAAAGGAACTGATCCTGAAATGAAAGAGGTGGCTGGTGCACCGTGGAACAGGCAAATTAAATTGCTCAGAGGAGGAGTGATGAGATCTTTTGTCTGATTCCTGATCAGGAACATCTGTTGTGCAAAAAATGACAGCTGCTTTCTTCACTTTTCAGAGTTTATAATGCATTAGCCTTGCTAGTAGTTATCGGCAAGGACACAAAGAGTCAAGCAAATCAAAAGCATGGGAAAAAATGAACAGTTCCTGGTAGCATAGACTGATTTTAGTGCTCATCAAAGGTGTCAGATTGACAGCTCTGACAGCTGAAATTCTTTAGCTAATCATCAAACAGATGCTACCAGTCACTAAATAGATGCAAACCAGTGCTACCATTGCTGTCTTCTCACATAGCTGTGTCAATGTGCTCTGACTATGCCAAGGTGAGACCACCACAAAAATGAAAACAGCCTTACTTACAAATTCAGTTCTTAATCTCTTCACTTAGTCTGGCTAAATATGATGGTTTTGATAGCACTGATGCAAAGCATAATAAGAACATAAGATAAGGTGAGAAAAGATATCAGCTACCTTCATTCAGATGCTGGTCTATCTCAAAAAATTTTTGTTATCTCCACTTGCAATCAGTATGACTTCAAATCACTATTACTGCTGCAACATGAATTTTTTCTTATGCCAGATGACTAACCAGTTCAATGGGATGTCCCTGAGATCTCTTCTAAGTGGAAAGTCATTTGATTCGCTTGCAGAAGAGTGGTCATCTCATGAACTAGTCCATCAGCAGACCCAATAATCCAAACATTTAAACAATTAATTTTAAATCTTTCTTCATAGCCACAGCAGTCTCCTAAATTCATTCCTTGTAATTGTATATACAGTTATGGCATCATTTTAATTGTTTCATTGGTACAGCAGATCTCCTCAGGCAGTAACTGAAGTTTCTGTTATTGTTTCACCTCAGCTCTTCCTTGCTGCTGGAATATGGGGAAAGGGTTCTCCACTGTGAAATACTGCATGATTTACACTTGTGTCCAGCTCAGGCTAAATACGTGACTTTTCAGGGGAGTGAAGCACCTGAAAATGGAGGCACAGGTCTGCAAAAAGGGACATTAGGAATTTCAGTCTCACATAGCGATAAGACATTGCTTGCTTTTTCCAGCCTGTGATTGACTGATATCTTTCCTTTGACAGACACCGTACTAAAATATAGCCATTTCACTGAATTTCCCCAGTTTTTCCACATTATTGAGATGATACATCAAGCATGTCACAGCATGGGATTATGTGAGAAAAATGTATATCGAAAGAAGCAATGCCAACAGCTCCACAAGCAATATAAAATTCTCAGCTGTCAGCACCACGCAATAGCATTAACTCTATTAGTCTACCTTGTCTCCAGTCTGCTTTGTCAGTGTATTTCATAGTTACCCTACTTGGCTAGAAAGTCTGGAAGGCTTCCTCAGCCTGGGAAGCTTGGCTCCATTTCCCCTCTTTGATTACTGTGCAGCAGGGCTAAGCACTGATAACCAGCTAGAGTGACTCATGATGAAGAAGCAGTGGTGAATGGAATAGTTCAATAAATTCCCTAACTGTCATGGAACACTCTAGGTTAGAAGATGCTATATAAACGTAAGGTATAATCTCCGTTTTACTTCAGTCACATATTAGAGGCTGTTCTTTCTTGAGTATTACTGCTCTCATACTCAACTGTAAAGCCTTAACATTCTCTTTAGAAATGCTGGATGAGCATGAAACCTTAATGAAAACTGGTGAGAGTACTATTGCTATGTGCAGTTCATGCTGATAAAGATCAAAGAGGTCATGATCTACAGTGCTGCAGACACTTAAAAAGAAAACCAACAAAAAAACCTGACTTGCTTTTGACCACAACAACTTATCCCAATACCTGCAGGGCCTGTTTAATTTCCATGTTCCATGCTAACCTGAAGGAGAGGTTCATAGCAGTCTGACAAGATGTCAGCCTCAAGTCATATGCCCTTAATCCTGTTGTCACCCAAAATCAGTAACAGCACTTCCACGTGCATGGATGATGAAAATACAGTTCAGCTTTGCCCAGCCTCATTAAATTGAACATTCAGGAAGTCAGAACTTCTCAGCATTAATGCTCTCCAAAACACAACAAGGAACACCAGCAACCACAGTAAATCCTCAATACCTTTGCAGAAGACAGCTTTTAAGTCAAACAACAGTATGTTAGAAGCAGGTGAAATTTACACTATTGGTCTTGCAGAAAACACCAAACTCTTGGGCAATCTAATCCTGCAGACAGGTAGATTTTTCAACAGGACATGGACAGGGGGCATGCCAATAACTTCAGGATTTGCTGATGCCTGATATATGAACCATCTGTTATTTCTGGACTTAACTAGAACAAGGAATTTCTCCAATTTATTAAAGCAGAACAAATTTTCAGAAGAAACGATTGGCAGTTACATGCACCTTTGGGCAGTGTCAAGAGGTAAAACTGACCTTAAAAAGCGCAGTGGTCATCTGACACCACCATCTGAACATCTGTTTCATGATGCAGCTTTACCTGCACTTTCCCTTCAAGGACAATTTATACAGAGAAAAGGACTTGCATCTTCACCTCCTGGGATGGACTCATGCTGCTTTCCCTCTTCATCTCTTTAGGTCCTTGTCACTTCACAGAAGGTGGCACCCTGCTGAGCAGCCAGGATTACTTGGCAGGCCCATCTGGAAGCAGCCACCCTTTGAGCTTCCCCTTGGGGAACTATGAATGACACACAGACACCAAAGCTGGCATCCACAGAGTGAAGCTCCATCTCAACAGCAGGAATTAAAATACAGAAAAGAAAAGGGCTTCTTGCTTTGGGCCTTCTGAATCCTCTTGTCAAACCTGTAGGAAGTTGGAAGCTGGGTCTGAAAGTTGTTATCTCCCTGTACTCCTCACATGGATGGACAGTTAGCAGAAATGTTTGCCTGTTTCCCTGTTTGCCCACCGTCACTGCTGAAGAGCTGCAAAACTATCTTTTCAGTCAGATAGCATCAAATTATAGGAAGATGTCTCAAAAGACAGATGAACAAATACTGAAATTCAGGCTTCTTACGCTGTTTATATCTTTTGTCTGTGAGCTGCTGAAAAGTAGTAAGCTTAGTAGAACTCTGATAAACACAGTAATTTCAGTGAGGAAACAGTTTTTCAACCTAGAAAAAAATTTACTGACAAAGAAGTAATTCAAGGGTTGAAGTACAGGCTGAGGATCTCCTCTCCATCTTCCAACATTAGTTGAAAAGTGAAGCTTATGGAAAAGAACTAGTCTGAGAGGGACTTTTTTTCTTCTTTCAAAATCAGATGAATGTATAAGCTACTGCATATACAAGCATAAACAAGGATTTTGTAGGTTACTGTCACCTGATATCTAAGGCTTTCAAGTGACCATAAAAACAACTTCCTCATCATGCCCTTGGGAACAAGGAAAATGGGGAAATATCTACAGGACCTGATGCTCTGCACCTCAAGGCCATGCTTCAGTATTTAGCACAGATCAGTTGTGTGGAGAACTGTATGCCTCCCCCCCCCCCCGGAAAACTGGTACTTATCTGCTCTCCATTGCATTTCCAGCAAACATGCAACTAGCACAAAAGCAACACATTTTCAATGGTTTTTACTTGGTATCTTTGAGGTGAAGAGCAGTCAAGGGTCATGTCTTCTAACCAAAAGGACAATTTTGGGGGGGAATTTTAATCAGAATCATGAAACAGCAAGGCAATGCTATGGCCAATAATTATATAGTTGCCTCACGAACTAAGGCAAATCTTTGTTCTACAGAATGACGGTCTGAAAATCTATACTGGTGCTGCAGTCTCTAAAGTGTTTTTAAAAACCTAGTTGAAGAGCCATAAAAATGCAAATTTCATTAAATAGAGAGGGTGTGTTCCACTATTCAGACCAAAGTCTGCTTTTGGTGGCTGCTACATTTTTAGTAAGTTCTTAGTCCAATAAATTAATCCACTGTTCCCTATATATTTAACAGGCTATCAAGGAAAAAACAACAGGCTGTGTTTTCAATAGAAGTCATTATAAAATGCTGATTAAACTGAGAAGAATCATATCTTTCAGCTGAGATGACAAAAAGTACAGAGGTGAAGGGGTAGCATTAAT